TAATTTCTCACAACTGTGAAAAATTAAATAGGTAAAAAGAAGAAAAAAGATTAAAACTCATAATTTTGCAAAACTGTGAACATTTACATTGATACAAATTAAAAAATGCTGAAAATAAACATTGATATTATCCATCTAAATTATAAAAAAATCCAAATTCTGCCATGCCTAAATATAAATACATCTTGATAGGTAATTAAGGTTTTTACTTTATCTAATCTATCTATCTGAATGATATGTATGTAGCATTCATAGAAAGAGGGATTATGTTTTAGAATTATAACTATCACACGCACATTCCTAGAAAATTTACAGGTGCCCTAAGGAAACAGTGAGCAGTTCAGAAATCAGGTTTTGGTAGAACAGAATAAAGATCATTTTTATAATCTACAGCTATTTCCCTCAAACAGTAGTTACTATTTCCATAAATAGTGTTTCCATAAGCTTTCATATATCACAATATCATATTCAAATATTTATATTGCAAAAAATAAAAAATAACGTCTGGGTCCCCAAAGAAAATTCTTTGAAAGAGGGAATGGTTGAGATGTTCAAAGCCGAGTAAGGAATTTAGGGTAAAATTTTCAAAAGTACCTAAATTACTTAGGTACCTAAGGCCCATTTTCAAAAATGATTTAGGCATTTAGGAGCATAAGCCTTAATCTACACTATAGAGTTAGGTTGATGTGAGGCAGCTTACATTGGTCTAACTCTGTAAGTGCCTACACTAAAATGTAGCTCCCACTGATGTAACTTGCCCACTACACCGACTTAATAACTACTCCTCCGCGAGAGGTGTAGTACTTAGGTCAATATAGTTAGGTAGATGCAGTGTCAGTGTAGACACTGCATTGCTTACATTGACTGTTGCTGCCTTTCAGAAGCCCTCCCACAATGCCCCACACTGACAGTTAAATCAGTACAATGCTCCTGGTGAGAATCTGCACTGCTGACACAAGGAGCATAGTGTGGAGATGCAAAAGGGATTTAATTACTGCTGTCGCTGTATGTCAAAGTAATTTAGATTGACTTAATTTGGTAGTGTAGATTTGCCCTAAGTGTCATTGAAAGTCAATGGGACTTAGAATCCTAATCATTTAGGTGCTTTGGAAATGTTAACATTTTACCTTTAGCCACCCAACTCCCATTCATTTCAAAATCAATTCTGAAAATATCAACTACTATATTTTAAGGTCAGGAGAGTGGTACCAACTATTTAAAATATAATTAAAAGCTGAACAGTGTTCATAATGATCCTGATATCTTAGAGTTGTAATAATGTTGTTAAAGTGTTGACTAGAGTGGGTTGAAAATTTTCTATCCACTGTTTTCCCCAATGGAAAATGTTTTTTCAAGAAAACCAGAAATGTTCACAAAAATATTAGTTTTGGTTAAGTTTTTTTAAAACAAACAAAAACCTCATTCTGGTAGGGGAAAAAAAACAACCACTTTCTCTCACGTCTTACTTTTTTTCCTCAGGAAAAAAGGAGCAAAATAAAGTTAAAAGTGTTCCCACAGCCCACTGAAATGAAACTAAATTGCCTGAAAATTTTCAATAATTTGCCATTTGTTTCAAAAACATTTATTAAAAAAATGAAATCTGCCACCAAAAATTTGCAACAAAATGACTGCTCTAGTGTTGACACATTTGGCTCAGAACCTGCAAAGACTCAAGCACATGCTTAACTTTACAGATCTATGTCATCCAATTAAAGTCAATGGAACTACTCACAGTGTGTAAAGTTAAGCACATGCTTAATCTTTACAGGATTGTGGTCTGTTTGCTTTTTCTCAAAGGAGAGACATTAAAAATTTGCATTAAAAGTATTTAAAGAAGCCTCCGAAGGTGGAATCTCTCCTGCTATGAAAGTCAGCATAGAACTGGTTATCTCAGGGTTCCAGATCACATTAAAGAAAAGGAGGGGACTCAACTGCAACTCATAGTGGTCCACCCTCTTCCTCTAGCACCAGTGACATGTATTTAATCTTTCCCTCTGATTGTTACAATGTTTCCCTCATACCATCCTGTGTACCCACCTAGCCTCTGAAAAGGACATAGAGTTCAAAAGATCCATACTCACTAAAGGAAAAATAACTCCACACAGTCTATGGATCAAATATTGACTTCATGTTTCTTACTTGCAAGACAACCAGGAGCACTACCATCAACATAGAAAAAAAGCCTAGCTGCTAACATTGCACCAAAATAAAAATTCAGAGCCTAGCACATTATGGATCATGAGCATTGCAAAAATCCAAGTGTAGCACCTGGAACCTGCTGGATCAGCAAAATTTTGGTCCCGAGCCCCTAAATTCTAATACCACCATAGAGAAAAAGTCGAGTTGCTCCTACTGTACTAAAAAATTTGGGAACTTGACACATTCCAGGGCAGGAGTGCCCCAAAAACCCAGATGCAGAAACTGGATCCTATAAAATCCATCCAAGTTTCAGCCCTTATCCAAATTCTATGAGATTAACAGAGAATAAGTGTACCTATTGTGATTGCACCCCAAACAAACAAATAAATAAATGCTTGATGCATTCTGGTACATGTAGTGCCTGGATCCATCTGTGTATCTTGGCAATTTCTGGTGTCAAACTCCTAATTGTACAACATAAATAGAAAATAAGGGGAACAACTCCTTCTTCACTGGAAAAATCTGACTCTTATCAATACTGGCCCAATATCACTGGAAAAACCTATATCTAGTACCTGGAGCCTGAGGGAACCTGCCAAATTTTAAACTCAAGCCCTGCGCCCCCCCCCCCCCCCCCCAATTCTACTGTCCAAATAGAGAGAAAAATGTAGCTGCTCCTAGTGAATCCTCAACTCGGGACCTTGTTACAAAGTGATGCAGCAGCACCACAAAAACATGTATCTGGCATCCCAAACCTGAAAATGCTACCAGCTAAACAAAAAAGGGCAGCTGCTCCATTTCCACTGCAAAAATCTAGACCCTGCTTCATCTCTGCTCAGCAGCCCCACCAAGACACATATCCAGCACCTGGAGCCTGCTGAATTATGCCACAAACCCCCAAATTGTACAGTCAAAATAGACAACACACATTGCTACTCCTCTTTGACCTGAAACATCCTGGCTCTGACACATCCCAGGGCAAAAACAATGCAAAAACGCATATCTTGCACCTGGATTCAACATTTTTGGGGGGGCACAAACCACTTAGTTTTACTGGAGAAATAGAGATCAAATATAATTGCTGTGAGGTCACTACAGAAATTTGATCTCTGATTCATCCTGGCACACAAAAGTTGAAAAATCCAAATACAGATTTGGATCCAGCGAGGTTTAGCCCATTTTTCTCCTATATCCCCAAATTTCTACCTTCTAGATAGACAGCACGTGTAGCCATGCTTTTCCATCAGATAAATCTGTATCCAATGCATTGGAATTTTCAAAGCAATCTGGGGGATTTTTAGATTTACATCTAACATTACAATGTGGTTTAAAGTTGATGGAAGATGTGCCTACCTCCTTAAGACTCCTTTGTACATCTCCACCAAGCGGTGATAAGCTAAAACCACATATTATGTGGTCATACACAGATACTAGACCAGTTCCATTGCAAAATTTAAATATTATACTATGACATTTGGATGCATCTAGAAAGTTCATATCATCAGATCTGGGTTCTTATGGCTATGCAGATGTACAATGCATAGGATACTTACTATACTGCTACATTTCACTATTGATGCTACATGTTTCTATTAAGACAATTCTGTTTAGATTTTTGCAGGGAAGTAGGTGCTGAGGTTAAAAATGAGCAGGATCCAGGTACCAGATATGTGTTTTCCAGTTCTGTTGGGTCAATAGGCATCAGGGTCTAGATCCGGGGTCGGCAACCTTTTAGAAGGGGTATGCCGAGTCTTCATTTATTCACTGTAATTTAAGGTTTCGCGTGCCAGAAAATTTTTTAACGTTTTCAGAAGGTCTCTTTCTCTAAGTCTATAATATATAACTAAACTATTGTTTTATGAAAAGTAAATAAGGTTTTTAAAATGTTTAAGAAGCTTCATTTAAAATTAAATTAAAATGCAGAGCCCCCCGGACCGGTGGCCAGGACCTGGGCAGTGTGAGTGCCACTGAAAATCAGCTCGGGTGCCGCCTTCAGCATGTGTGCCAGAGGTTGCCTACCCCTGGTCTAGATTTTACCAGTGATGCAGAAGACATTTACATTTGTTTCCTATTCAGATTGTATCATTTGGATTTGAGGGCCACAGTTGCAAATTTCAACTGGTTTTCGTTGCAGTACTCATGGACCGGATGCATGAAAGCCCATCATTGATGATTTTTTTTTTAATTATTGTGCAAAAGGAGTAGCACCAGTAATCTCTGGTGCCAAATGAGCGTGGGGCCTTGTGTGCTGTGGTTTATGGAAGGGAGCCGAAGGTGTGCGTGGGTCACTGCAGCTATTCCACGCGCCATTGGGGGGGGGGGGTCATTCTCCAATGGCTCGCACCGCTCCAGCTGGCAGCGGGTGACTGTACCTGGGAGAGCAGCTTCTCTCTGCTTGTGAGTCCCAGCTGGGGCTACTCAGCGGTGGGAGCAGCCCAGGGCGCCCTGCTTGGACCCGGCCTTCCGTGGGGGTCCCGGACTCCCGCGGCCGCGAGCCCCGATGCAGGGGACCCATCCTGCCCCCCTTGGAGCCAGTGGCCAACCCCCTGGGCGCCCCCCGCGCCGGGGCGGGGGCAGGCTGGCGCGGACCCCCGCGGCGGGCCGGGTCTCCATGGAGATCCCCCAGGGCCCCGGCACGGCCGCTGCGGTTGCCACGGGAGCCGCCGCCGGTCTCAGCTTCCAACGGGCCGGCACCAACAGCCGCGGGCGGGTTGAAAGTAATCAGCGCCCGCGCGGGAGGGGCTGCGCCGCCGCCTCCCCCGCCCCCGGGACGCGGCTACATAGGCTGGGCTGGGGGCAGCGGCGCGGCTCGGCGCCCTGGCTAGTCGCTGCCTGTCGGGCAAGGGGCGGCGGCAGGAGCAGCAGCAGCAGCAGAGGCGGGGTCTCCCCAGCTGCGGGGCTGGCGTGTAATGCCGAGCGCGGCGGGGCTCCCGGGGGCACTAGGGCGCGGTGGGCTCCTCGCAGGACCCCAGCAGCGGGTGGCGGCTCCTGCCGCTCGGACTCCAGCGTCCGCGGGGGCTCAGTGGGCGCTTGGCCCGGGCATTGCAGCCGGGGCTGTGGGGCTGGGGGTATAGGACCTCCTGGGAGCTCGCTTGCCTGTAACCCTCCCGCTCTGGGGACGTGGCTTCAGCGTGCTCTGCCCTAGTAGTATGCAAAGGCAAGGAGAGCCTCAGACCTGTGCATCAGGGAGCCCTCTGGCCTGGGTTACTGTAGGCGCTGGCTTTCAGTAGCCTCTTCCCTGGCATCCCTTGGGGGGAGGGATAGCTCAGTGGTTTGAGCATTGGCCTGCTAAACCCAGGGTTGTGAGTTCAATCCTTGAGGGGGCCATTTAGGGAACTGGGGTAAAAATCTGTCTGGGGATTGGTCCTGCTTTGAGCAGGGGGGTTGGACTAGATGACCTCCTGAGGTCCCTTCCAACCCTGATATTCTATGATTCTATCCCTGACCTCCTTTCCGCGCAATATTCCCCCTGGAGCTGGTGTCTTGCTCTGCTTCTCCGGAGCCGCAGCGCTTGTAGGGCGTTAGTGTCTTTCTAGAACTGCCTCTCCAGGGCTCCCAACAGGGAAGCAGAGGTTTTTTTGGGGTGGCATTAATGAAGGCAAGTCTGTCGCACTGTGAGTGTGGAAACAGACATACTGCTTATGAGTCACAGATTCTAATCTCAAAAAGGATCATTGTGATCATCTTGTCTGACCAATATAATGTAGGCCAGAGACCTCCACGAAATAATCCGTAGAGCGTATTTTTTAGAAAAAGATTTAAACCTTGTCAGTGATGGAGAATCCCCCATGACCCTTGGTAAATTGTTCCAGTGGTTAATGATGAGACCTAGAATCCTACGTTTAGAATAAGAAGCCGTCATGGGAGAGATCTGTGCTCCTTCTAGGAGGGGGAAGGGGAATCTGGACTGTTGTCTTTAGAGAGAAATTGGGGTGAACTTGCCTGAGATGACTAATATGCCATTCTCTTCTCTTCTTAGCTGTCAGCTGCTGACCTTGAAACAATGCATCACAACGATAAGAGTGGGATCTCCCAAGCTGGAAGTTGGGAGATCCGCCGGGTTGCAGCTGGGCCTTATTCCAACCAAAATCCCCCACAGAGGGCTGTGCTTGGGCTGCTGACTGAGAATGGGCAGTGCTTGAGGGCATGTGGCCAGGTAACTTTTGGGGGGTGAATCCCATTGCTTATTGTGGGGTTACACTGATAAGTGGCTGGCAAACACCCAAGGTGCCTTTTGTGCATGTGTGGATGATACTACTTAAGTCAGATATAGCTTGTGCGGTTGCCATGGAAGCTTTTCTTGTCTCCAAACAGATTTTGTCAAGGCCCCTGTTATTCCAGCACTGGGTTTCTTCTTACTATGCATCTTAACCAGAGACAATGAGGAGGAACTATGACTGTTTTTTCCTTACCTAAATTGAGTGTTTCTCTAAACCTAGTTCATCTTTTTTTAAACCTTACTTTTGTGAACTGATATGTAAACCGTCACGGGCATTGCTGTGAATGTTGGTAAACCGGAGTTTAAAACATACGTGCAAAACAGGTATCTAAAAGTCTGACTGATCAGGACATATTTAAGTATGTATATACCTAACCTGACTTCATTTCTCCTCTTTTTCCCCCCTCCCTCCCCAAAAAGTGACAAAAGCCTGATAAATGACCTGACCCTCAGCTTGCACTGGAGGGACACAATACCAACTCTGGCAATTTTATTGCAAATATCATGGTTTTTGGTGTCTTATTTACAGCCCTAGCTCCTGGAATCCTGTGATTACTTGAGACTCTCGGTTCAGCTCTTTTATCCTTAAATTCTAGCTCACAGGGTTGCAGAAACAAGCTTGAAAATGTGGCCCAAGTGCAACTTAAAGGCTCAAACTAGAAGGCAAATAAAAAGAACCCAGAATTTATTACCTCTTGACCTTTTTTTAAGGTCATTTCATGATTTCTTTTTTGAATGCTTGGGGCTGACAGTACTAGGTTTGCAATATGGAATTTGGCTAACACACATGATTTGCTTGTGTCTCAATATTTCATCCAGATCACACATGGGATTTAAAAGGGTAGTGCTTCAATCCCTGTTCAGTTAGCAGAGCTTTTTGAGGAGGTTATGGCTAGCTAGTATTCTACAGTGTGGCCCTACTGACCATTTCTCCTCTGCTCTAACTTGGAGCCCAGCTTTAAGTAATGTTTCTGGAGGGGGAGGGACTGTTAAGTGGCTTCTCTTTGCCCCTGGCCTATGGAATGTAGGGCTCAGTGGAAATGTATATGCCCCTTAACTGCCAATTACTGCTCAAAGGTTCCGTGGCTTCGGTATATGGCTCCTACAGTGTGTTGATATGGTGGCAATCATTCAGAGAGCAAGTATTCCTTTTGGGATAGCCTTTTTTCTTGGTTTCCCTCATTCTTCAGAATAAATTTAGGTGCCAGAGCCATTATGCAGATTTTAATCTGGTTAGCATGACTCTACTGTGTCATAGACTGGAATGGTCCTTGCATGTATAGTAGTTGCTACTCCTGTGCAAACCTCTTTTGAGGAAAGCAGTCCAGTGGGATTAGAGTAATAGATTACCATTTAAAGGTGGTAATCCTTAGAGTACATCTGGTATTGTGCAATAAAAACAGACCCTTTCCCCCCCATCGTCTTCAGATCTGAGTGTCTAAAGCCAGGCTCCTAAATAAAGGAACCTGGCTACAGAAGTTTGGCATACCCACAAATTCCACTGAAGCCAAATGCGGGTTGTAGGGGCTCAACATCTCTGAAAAGCTCTTATTTGAGTCACTGCAACTGCAGCTCTTATTGACATGGTGGGATTTGTGATTGCTCAATATTCTGAAAATTGGCCCTCTTTCATTTCAGAGCCTGACTTTGACCAAAGCTTTTTCAAATCTCAGTGCCTAATGTATTGCTGAAAGACATGACTTATGATGCACTTAATACAGCGTATGCTCATTGGGGGCTGCAAGCTCTTACCTCATGTTCATGGGATGAACAGACGAACTACTTGCCCAGTTCAAAACCTTCACTAAAGACCTGGACTAAACTCTAATCCACTTGTGCAGTTCACTGACATACTCACTAGAATTATAAGAAACTTTTGCTAGCTTTCATCTATTCTACAGGCTTGCTCTTGACTATTGGCGGTCCAGAAAGACTGATATGACCCTTATAAAAGGCTTTTATTAGCTTTTTCAATACAAAATCCAGTTTTTTTTCTGAAAACTATACTCTTAAAATTACCTCTTGCGACATAGGGCTTAGCATTAGTATACATATCTAAAAACCATTTTAACAACCTTAATATCAAATTATAAAAGACTGCTTTAAACTCTTAATGCAGCTCTTGTTTTCTTCAGCAAGCTAAGGTAACAAGTGTTGGGCTGCATTTAATGTTGGTAGTTCTCAACATGAATAAATTGAACTGTAGCTCAGAGCTTATAATTACAGTTGGCATTTCAGCAGAATTGCTCAGGCTGGCCATCTTGCAGATGAATGTTTGACACTAGCAATATAAGATTATTCAAGACTGAACCTGGCTTATTAAACTGGAAGATAGATAATTCTCCATGTAGCACAAATGTCCATCATTACAGCAAGATGGCAGTAAGCAGAATTTCCTAAATGCCAGTTCTAATGGCAAGCTTTGTTTCCACTAATGTTCAGTTTATTGATGCAAGTGCTTGCAGTCTGCAGTGCTAAGGAAAATGGGTGGCTTTCCTCTAAAAATATTAATTGCACTGTTTCTGTTTGTACCTAAATCTCTTCCTACAGGTTTAATCTGTACTTTATTTTCAGGGTACCACAATAGTCAGACGCTTCTCTGGCTCTGAAAATGCTTTCCCTCCATCTGGAAAGAATACATTGCCCAGCTGTATGGTCAATGTAACATCTAAGCAAGGGTTTGCTATATATGTAGATGAACCAGAGCAGAAAGACAGATGCAGCTGCACAGTTGTAGAAGAGGTGGAACCTAGCCTGTGTGAAGTGGATACTAGCACAATGAAACCCAATATTCATCTGCTGTTGGATTTGAGTACAGGTAACTGTCACTGCTCAAAATATTGCTTGTAACATTAATCTCATACATGAAGTGGTTGGCTTTTTTAACAAAAGTAAACTTGTCTAAATTGTTGGACCATATCAGGGAATTTTTGTATTAGAACCATAAAGTGTATGTGTATAACAAGTCTGAGGCCAAGAGAGACAAGGGGTAAGATTGAATTCAATTGAATTCCCCACAGCTTAGGCCTCTTGCTTTTCCATTTCTGTGTCTCTCCTTTTCTGTGAGAAACATGCAAGGCCAAACTGCTAATTGTGTTAACACATCCTAAGACAGAAAGTCTGTTCTCAAAAAGGAATCAGGCTTTGCAAAAACAACTGTAATTGTTCTTCGAAACAGAACACGGCTTTTAACTTGTTTGCTATGTATGTTAAAGTTTAAGTAGATTTGCAACATCCTGAGAATTGTTAGAAGTTAAAAGCGATAGTGAAGTAATAAGTAATGAATCTATGTTAAAATAGAGGATGTATGTGAATGGATGCTTGATTTAGATAAAGGATAAATTTTTTTTAGATAAAGGATGAATGGTCAGGGAAGTGCCAGCCTAAGAATTACAACCCCAGTCTCGATTGGCCGAAGAATGCGTAGACTAGAGATAACTGGATGACCCCCGGAGGGCAGGCCGGAATCCACCCAAGTGCCCCCCTGGATGGAGGGCTGAAGACTCCGAAGAACAAGATAACACTCAGCCATCAGGGATGTGCCACCTACTAATTGATGATCACCTCAAACAAACATCAGCAGGATGAAGCAATTCCCATAGACTTGTATAAGGACAAAATCCTATAAGAACAGACTCTAAAGACTGAAAACTTTTGAGTCTGGTTCTGCAACCACCCTCCAGGAGCATCGGATGTGCATCTGACAAGGACTCAGCTCCACCCTCGTGTGCAGGCTACCTGGCCAGTACTCTGCCATGAGCAACCTCTAGGCTGGTAACTATAACAACTGTGCAGAACTTGTATGAATGAGTGTGTGAATGAATAAGGAATGGTAGTGAAATAATATTAAGTTGCATATCCTGATTTCTCACTCTTTCTCTGTATTTACAATAAACCTGGCATTTTTTGCCTCATCCCTCTTATAAGATTCGGTTGGTATTATTTTATTAGTTTAACATAATTATCTGTAGATTACTTGTTCATATAAATGTGATTGAATCTTGTACTGCCAGAAAATCGGCAGGATAAGTTGAAAGGAAAAATGTCCCATCTAAATGTCTTGTTGGATGCCTTATGTAATAAGAATCCTGATTGTGCAGGTTCTCCTATGTTGGTGGATACATCATTGCAGTCACAACATGAAGTTCATGTGGATAACATCGTGGATGTAATGAATGTGGGAGACTATGCAGAAGACATTCATCAGTATCTTAGAGAAGCTGAAGTGAGTGGCTTTCACAAGCCTATAATGTCAATGTTTCCTTGACCCTACATGTACTGGCAACACTTACCTCTTAGATGTAGATTGCCACTCTTAAAGTATTGCTGCTTTCAGATTCTCTGGTTGTCATTTAGCATCTCTTTACTGCCTTCATTCTCTTTAACAAAGCATTCTCAGTAAGCTCCTTGTGTTGCTGGCCAAGGTCCAAGCAGGAGGTAGTGAGAGAAGATTCTTCTAAAATGCAGGACTGCTTTGACTCTAGCTCCTCTCTCAGATGAAATGTGTAACTGAGCTTTTCTGGGGTGAAGAGACTTTCAACAGCTCTTGAGAAACTATTTATCAGGTTGAGAGTAAGAGAGTATGGCAAAAAAGGCTGTAGCAATCTGAGGAGGTGGTGGTTACCTGCGGCTCCTACCCGCACCAGAGTAGTGCTCCCCTCCAAAGCTCCTACTATACGCTAGCTTTTACACTGTGCTAGATCTTCCTCAATTACAGTTGTCAAACTTCATGATTAACTTTTGTCACTGAATTCAGTACAGCTCTCCACTCACTGATGGTGGGAATCGGTAATGGTCTTAATATATTGACCATCAGTGAGAATAATTGCTTACACCATTGATATGGCAACAGTTGTTGTTCTTATAATGTCCTAATTACTGAACCTCCAATCTTTCCAAACAGATAAGGTACAGGCCAAAACCATATTACATGCGAAAGCAGCCAGACATCACCTCAGGGATGCGTGCAATCTTGGTGGACTGGCTGGTGGAAGTTGGGCAAGAATACAAACTTCGTACTGAAACACTGTACCTAGCTGTCAACTTTCTGGACAGGTTTCTTTCCTGCATGTCTGTCCTCAGAGGGAAGCTGCAGCTTGTGGGAACAGCAGCAATTCTTCTGGCTGCGTAAGTGTTCTTTGTTGCCTACTGAAGTCTTGACAGACAAACTTCTTGTGGGAAAAGACCTCTTCCTCTCATTTAGCGGTTGAAACTAAAATCTATTCTGAAGAGTTGTGCTGGTTCTGACAACACAAACCTTGTCGTGGTAAGAGCATGTTCATTTAAAAACAAATTATCATTCTACTTAATTCACAAACTCCTCTTACTGATTTTGAACATGGACTAAACCAAAACTTATTTTGTCTGGACCATATTGTATCACTTGGACTTTTGGCTCTTAAAGCTTAAGCTTCTTAACTTCAATGTGAATTCTGTTCAAAAAATGGTACAACGTGGCATCTTGCATAATATGGTTCTTAAGGAGGCAGTCTAATGTCTGTAAATGCTGCCCTGTTTGTATAGTCAATCTAAAAAGGACTTGTAGGCAAGAGCTGAATGTATTAAGCTGTCAAAAGGTACCATGTGTGTTACAGGATATGCCTAGGTGGGGGTTGAAGTCTGTGAATCTTCTTGGATGAAGGTGGACCCATATGCTCATCCCAGCACTGACTCTTACAAGCCTTTCTTTCTGATTGAAACTTCCAACTTTATAAACTTAATGAACTTTTTGCACTCCTTTTTAGGAAATATGAAGAGATCTACCCTCCGGAGATAGAGGAGTTTGTGTATATAACAGATGATACTTACACAAAGAGACAGCTATTAAGAATGGAACATCTGCTCCTGAAAGTACTGGCTTTTGACTTGACAGTACCAACTATCAACCAATTTCTCCTTCAGTATTTACAAAGACATGGAGTCTCTGTCAGGACAGAGAACTTTGCAAGGGTATGTGTTACTGTCTTCCCACAGCCTTAAAGGAGTGTGATTGCTAAAGCAGGAACATGTGGGGGGTGGAGATGTGGGAACTTTCAGACTCTGTTTACTCTCAGGAGCATCCTCTTGATTGGAAAACACCTACCATAGGGAACATGCTGAGGGTGCTTGCCTATCAAACATGACTAACACCCTGATAAACCAGTACCCTAACTGGAGATTGCATAAAGTGCAGGCCTGGTAACAGTGCACAGCACAGGAATTAAATCTAAACCTAATAGCAAAGTCTGTTGCGCTGCTTGCTTTCCAAAACTACAGCTTTACACTGTCTATATTGATAGTACATATATAGTGGTAGAGCCCAGAGGCCCCAACAAAGATCAGGGCCCTGCCATGCTAACCACTGACTGTACCAATATAATATAGCTCTACAGGACATATCCTTTCACTATCCATGTAAAGGACAAAGGGTAAAAGAAAGCAAGTCTTATTCCCACTGTCACAGATGGGGGAGCTGAGGCGCACAAACTAACTTGCCTGGGGCCATATAAGAAGCCTGTGATAGAGCTGAAAACAAACCCAGGCCTCCTGAGTCCCAGTCCAGTGCCTTGACCACAAGACTGCCCAGCTGTCACTCAACTAACTGGTATCTCTCTAAAAGGTGACTTCTGGCCCCATTGAAGATCATTGTAGAACTCCTGTTGACTCCAGTGAGGGCAGGATTTCACCCTAACTTTCTAAACCGATAAAACAGCTTTCAAACAGAGTATATAATGATCCACTGTTCTCCAAAACTGTGCTGGAAAGATAACCAATGCTTCTTTAGAGCACACTGAATTGATCCCACTGTATACACAGAGGTCTATTTGAAAGTAACTTTTGCAAACTTCTTTTGCCTAGTATGTAGCAGAGTTGAGTCTCCTGGAAGCTGATCCATTTCTGAAGTACCTTCCTTCACAAACTGCTGCAGCAGCTTACTGTCTAGCAAATTACACTGTGAACAGGCATTTGTGGGTAAGCTGTTAATTATCTGAGGTGCTGTGGAACTGGGGGTTTCCTACATCTACAGGTTCAGACTTGAGTGGAAAGAATCTCCACTCCACATAGTATGAACTAGCAGATCTCTTGGGAGGGTTCTAGTTCAACTAAACAGGCTTTTCCACTGGCACACAGTTAATATCTAGCTCAGAGGTGGGCAAACTACCGCCCGCAGGCCACATCCAGCCCACGGGACCCTCCTGCCTGGCCCCTGAGCTCCTGGCTGGGCAGCTAGCCCCCAGCCCCTCCCCCGCAGCCATGCCGCCACACGGGCAGCACTCTGGGTGGTGGGGCTGCACGCTCATGCTGGGCAGCGCAGCAGTGTGTTTGGCTCCAGCCGGGAGGCGCGGCTCCAGACATGCTGCTCTGAGCAGCATGGTAAGGGGGCTGGGGTGGGGGGGTTGGATATGGGGCAGTCAGGGGGCAGTTGGATGGGGCAGAGGTTTGGGGGGGGCAGGGAACAGGGGATTGGATAGGGGGTGGGGTCCCAGGGGGCCTGTCAGGGGGAAGGGGTGTGGCTAAGGGTCAGGGCAGTGAGGGGACAGGGAGCAGGGGGTCAGTTAGGGGCAGGGGTCCCAGGAGGGGTTGGTCAGGGGACAAGGAGCGAGGTGGGGGGGTTGAATGGGTGGGGAGGTTCTGAGGGGGGCAGAAAGTGGGAGGGGGTGGGGGGCAGGCTGTTTGGGGGGCACAGCCTTCCCTACCCAACCCTCCATACAGTTTCGCACCCTGATGTGGCCCTTGGGCCGAAAAGTTTGCTCACCCCTGATCTAGCTAGTCAAAGACTTGCTCCTCTCTTCCATCTAGAACTTCTGCACAGGCAGGAACAATACTTTGGCCACTGGCTGAGACTAACTTGTTATGGTACACAGTCCTAATGAGACTCATCATATAATTAACCATCTTGTCAATGTATTGATCCCACCCTATAAAAAACTGATAGACTGGCCTCTCTGCAACTGTCTTTGTGTTGGGGGGGAGAAGAATCTTAGTGCACATGGTTTTATCCAAATACCAGTCTTATTGGTATTTGCCTATGTGCTGTAGGAATTATTTCATTTGGTGGTAATGGTAGGGAACACTAGTCAGAACTGGTGAAAGACACCAGCAAGCATTCTGTCTGCATCAGAAGGAGCTTCTTGTCAGCCTTCTCTGCTGTAGTAAAGACCTAAAGTGGACATTGATGCTAGGATGCATCTGGGATATTGAGAGGGCTCACATCCTCTATGGTGACTGCTATGGGATCTCACTTCAGCAGCAAAATAGTTGCATCTGTCCATCTAAGTATTCAGCAGAAATGTGACTTGCTTCTTGACAGAGGGCCTCTACCAAAATCTGGAAGACACAGTACCTAACCAAATGCAATAATGTACAGTAATTCTTTTCTCTACTGATCAGCCAGAAACACTTGCTGCATTCACTGGGTATTCGCTAAGCGAGATAGTGCCTTGTCTGAGTGATCTACATAAAGCATGCCTTGATGCTTCTCATCGACCACAGCAAGCAATTAGAGAGAAATACAAGCTGTCAAAGTAAGTTCTTAAGACACTAAATGCCTTCTGTTTGGCTCCAAACGACAGCAGGGATTAAAATTGGCCAAATTTCCTCAACTGATGCAAATCATGCTGTTCTAATCAATGGAGCTATGCTATGGGAGGTCCTATGTGCAAGCTATTTAATCAAAAGTTTCTACATAACTGGTAGTCCTATCTAGTAGCTCCCCTAACAAGGTAGTAGCTGATACTAACTACACATGTCTTGAAGGTTGAAGTGATCTTAATAGTAAGAACTGTTCTTCTTATAAGAGCAATCTTATAATCTAGACATAGCCATAACTCTGTATTTCAGATTTGCATGGTGCTGAAGCACTCAGCAGCTGAAACCCAAATCATTCATGTACCTCAAGTAGGGTTTCCTACTAACAAGATGTCAGTTAAATAACTTGTAACTAACTAGCTGCTTGTTTCTATTGCAGGTACATGCATATATCCTTTATGGAGCCACCAGCAGTTCTTCCTCTGCAATAAATGCCAGTGAACCAACACACTAACTAAAATCGAAGCACTTGCTTCCTGATCAACAGAGTTGGTCTTACATTTTTATAGGGCACTGCAGGTCATGTGTCAGTAACCATGATGCTTATTGTTTTAGCTGACATTTTTAAATATGATTTTTTACAAGGACTCTAGACTAGTTTTAATGTAAACGAAAAGCACTTTTAATAAATATCTTGCCTTATGAATGTCTCTAGCTTCACTTGTCTAAGCTTTAACTTACTAAGAATTGTGGTGGATTCTCCATCTTTGGCACCTCTTTAAATCAATATTGGGTGAATTTCTGTTTGAACTGGAGCATCTTAGGAAAAAAACTCAGAAATCCTATGGCCTGTGTTCGACAGGAGGTCAGACTGGATTATCATAATAGTCCTTGTGGCCTTATAACCTATAAATCTTATCTAGATCCCAAAATGGGTTGTGAATCAAGAGGAGAAACTGTATTGACTCTTACCATAAATTAATATAATAGCTGCCCTGCAGATCTTGCAGTCAATCTGTCATTTGAGTCTTGTTTCAAACAATAGGGAGGATAGCAAAGGCAACACATGAGATCACCTAACTATGAAAGTTAGCTATTGAAAGGAATTATATTCAAGAGGATTTGTGCAAGTGCTGCACCATCAAATCATCAGTGGGTGGCTAGCTTCTTTTAGGTGAGATCATAGCAGAAGTGGTCTTAAGGGAATTGGAGAAAGCCATATGGCTAAGTTCAGGGTTGGTGTTCCCATGTAGAATGTGTAGGCATGTATTGGGGAGGCAAACATGCAATCCTTGAATACTTAATTGGCAGAGGAAAGAAAGGGTAAGGGTGAGGTGAGTCTACAGCAGATGAGTAGTGAGGGGCAGAATTGTGGGGACTTTATAAGCAAAGATGAAACTTGATGCTATGGCGTGGGGAGGAGAGGCAATGCAGAGAATCGAAGGGGAAGAGATGTGATATTCATGGGCCCCTTAGATGTGCCTAAAGTTAGGGGACATGTAGATGTTTGAGGCCAAAGAAGTGGACACTGCAGTCATTAAAATGCAAGATAAGGGCTAGGAGTGCTAGCTGTGTAGGAAAAAAAGTCTCTCTTCTGGGAGCTGCAGCAGGGTTTTGACACTACTGGGGAGTTGGGGGAAATGACAAGGGAGAGAGAAGTCAAAGATGCCACTTCCCTCCCAGCTGTGCACCTGAATGACAGGAATGACTTAATAGTGACAGAACTTGAGCAAAAAGAGGAGTTGGGGTTTTGGCCATATTAAGCTCTTATGGTGCTGTGGAAATGTTTATTTCAGCCTGTCTGACTAAATTGAGACAAGTCAGGAGTGGAGAGGTTGGTGGAAAAATATTTCCATCTGTGAGCACGCACACGCGCACACACGCGCACACACGCGCGCACACACGCACACACACACACGCACACACACGCACACACACACACACACACGTTTTACCTGGTCTGTCTCAAGAAACAGACAATGACAGCCTTCCAGGATAAGACTTCAGGGGAGAACATATTAAAGCAGCAGTGAGGATGAATTCGGGGCAGGCAGTGCAGGGTACCTGAGATTGGCCCTTAAAGAAGTAGAACCCCTGGTGAAAGCAGAATTGAGGTTGCAGAAGACCAACCAGAAAGAATCCAGGATGAAGTTAGAGGACATTACATACTGAGGCCTTGGGTACTTTTATGCTATAGAAATTAGAGGATATCTCTAGATCCCAGTGTAGGATTCTTAAATACTGCACACATTCTAGTACTCTGATCTCTCAATATGCCACACAACCGGATTCCCCTTCACTTAAGACTAGGCTGTCAGGGAAATGTTCTTAAATTCTTCCATAATGACTTCATCCCACTTTTAACATTCCCATTTTACCCTTGTAATCTAAACTCTGCTTTTTAGGGTTCATAACACCACAAAAGACTCATTGGGGAAGGAGCCCTCTTGATCTTCCCTTACCCAAGCTGTATCTTTTCAAAGAAAGCTTGAAACAAATCTGACTCCCCCCTTGGCCTAAAGTCCTTCCAGTCTGTTAATGTTAACAGACACAATGTGCTCAGTAGATTGTATGTAAATACTGCAGTCATGCCAGGCATTGGACTACTACCTCATCTAATCTGAAAAGATGCTTTGGTATCTATCTGCCTCTTTTTGCCACAGGACATTTCATATGTCTTCCCTAAGAAACTTTCCCCTTGCTTCCAATGCATATTGCAAACTGCTTCTTTAGAAGTAAAAGTTCTAGTGTGCATTTGAACAGCTGACACTATCTGCTGCCATCTGTCTTGATCCCTTGTGTTTTTGTCCTTAATGGTGTCTAAAACACCATCTGATTTAGTGGCTACAGGTTGTCATTAACATCCTGTCTAATCCTTCTTGAGATGACTAAAACTCAATACAAGGAGACCTTCTGCTGACCTGCAGCTCTCCCAGGACCTAAACATATTGGCCTTGTTTTCAGCCCTCAGTGGCATGTTGACTGGAGGGGGGGAAAAAAAACAAAAAAAACCCCTCTGTCTTTATCAATCCAGAGTGAATTTATTGAGTAGAATTTATTGAGCCACTGGAGCAAGTGCTCTATTAAAATAAAACATTACATCTGTGGTGTTACCTTAATCAAACTGGCACTTGCAAAAATGAAATCTAGTTTATGGGGTTATTTAGATCTAGTAAATGGTCTAATGTGAGGGTATGACTTTTTCTTTAATATAATGAATTAAGAAAAAGTGAGGTGCAGAAATAGACCAACCTTGGTTATTTAAGAGAACCTTTATTTAGCAGTTTCTGGGCACCTCTTACAGATCAGGTCTGTCTTTTATCCCTGGTTCCAATGTATACCCTTTCTTTTTAAATTCAGCCTATACTTTGAATAAACTAGCTGCTGCTTATAATGGATTGTTCCTTGAGTCCCTCAAAATATAATTAACATTTGAGGGGCTGTATTCTTGTTTGATCTCATAATCAGTATGGAGAGGCACTTTACATTCTGCATGTGTAGTTAAAGTTTTATAAGCTGAGTATGCAATCAACCCAAGGAATATGAAGAATCTAGGGACCATTTTTACTAACAAGCTACAGAGTTGCTCAGCAGGGAGGAGGTAGAGGTCTGAACTACTCCTGGGGAACAGAGGTACTATAATCAGGGGCTATGTTCAAATTTTAGGGTTTGAGTTCAAGAAATCACTGCGTTGAACACAAATTTGAAAAGCCATTAATCTGAGAGGGGAAGTTGCTTTGGCTAATTTTAGAAAATCCTATTGAGTGGTAACCACACTTGCTGTCCATATCATGTACTGTACACTAGGAAAATATTTTAACACTGAATGCAAAGCATCTGTTAAAATAGCTACTGTGCCACCTTACTGCAAAAACATGGCTCTTGCTTTATCAGAGGTAGAGGGGGAAAAAACTGCAAGCCCCTTCTAGATAGTTTATGATATGGAATATTAATCTTTCCATAATGTTTCTTCAGAGAGAGAGGATTGCTTTGCAGTAAAAATACAGGCTAAGCGAGCTGTTTTCTATCTGTGGCTGTGCCGGACTTGCAGTCACTTTGAGCGTGTTACTTAACCTTTCTGCTGAAGTTGCCTCCTCTTTAAAATGGAAATATATTTGCTTAGTAGGAATGAGAAAAGGATTCCTATGCAAATATTTGTGAAGCACTTTGATATCCTAGGATGCAAGGCACTATAAAAGTCCAAAGCATTATTTCTACCCTAAGCCCTACTTGACACTCTTGCCTGACAGAAAAACCTTGCCGGGGAAAGGGTAGTGAAAAAAGCTGAATAGAAAATGTGCATACGCTGTGGGAGACACTATGACTCAGGCCAGAAGTTGTAGTTCAGGTTTGAGGGAGGGTGTGGAAATCCTTCCCTTCCTTGCTTTTCATGTAACAACACACTATTGAAAATCTGAACTGTTAGGTGGTTGACATGCAAACTGTCACTAAATTTAATTTGCCATAAATGGGTAAACAAAAACTCATCATTGAACTATTACTAACCAGTCTCCTCTGATTCCACCAAAATGAAGCTGGTTTTGAGATATGAGTGCCCAAAAGGCTGAAACTATTTTGTGTGTTTGTGTATAATATATATAATTTGATTATAGTAGCATAGGCCTGACCCTCTAGCCCTTATGTGATTCTGCTCTCTTTCACTGGTTTACACAATATAACCCCACTAGTTTACTGCTGTTTTCCTCCTGATTTACGATGGTGTTGAGATTAAAATCATACCCTCAGTTTCCATGGGAGTACTCATGAGTAAAATTAGATACCAAGGAAGTTAGGCGCTTAAATACTTATCAGGATCTGGGCCCACATCCTTATTTCAATAGCCTTTCATACTATTCTTTTTTGCTGCAATTTGAGTGGCTGAATAGAATTTAGAAGAACAGAGTTTTAAGATGAGACTGTGTGTCCAGTATCAACCTAGAAGGAATTTTCATCACTTAGCATTAAGCCCTAGAAAAACAATGGTTTATATAAATGTGAGCTGAATTGTAACTACTGTGTATATCACTACTACAATTGTTTGTTACTATAAGAGGAAAAATAAAGGAATTTTAGGCCTCAGAAATAAGGCTTAGAATATTTTATGTAGGAAAAACTCAGTATTAATTGAAATAATCTGAAACACAATTTCCAGTATACTGTATTCATGTAACCAGCATATCAAGTGTATCTAAATGGTCTAAAGTGAATCATTATTTTAATGTTAGATCTGTGGAGTAAGCTTTTTAGATGAATAGATTCCAAGGTCAGAAGAGACTATTTTCATGAACTAGATGGATCTCTTGTCTAGCCCAGGCCATTTAATTTTGACAAAATAATTTCTAAAGCATATCTTTTAGAAAAACATCCAATCTTGATTTAAAGATTGTAGTGATAGGGAATTCACCACAACCCTTGATAAATTGTTCCAATTGTTAATTACTCTCCCTGTTAACAATCTATACCTTATTTCCAGTCTGAATTTGTCTAGCTTAAACTTTCAACCATTGGATCATGTTATACCTTTCTCCGCTAGACTGAAGAATCCATTGTTATATATTTATTCACCATGTAGATACTTACAGACTGTAATTAGGTCACCCTTTAACCTTCCCTTAGTGCAGTGGTTCTCAAACTTTTGTACTGGTGACCCCTTTCACACAGCAAGCCTCT